CGTTCCCATCGAAAAAGACGGACTCAGGAAGACCTTCAAGAATTGATGTGGTGCTATCTTATAATAAGTGGCACCACCGAAATTCGAGTATTTGTCCCTAAGGAATCGGGTAGAAACCTCGGATAAATACTTAAAAACTCCGACAAGTAGCCTTGTCGTGTTTAATGGTGGATAATAATAATAATAATAATAATTTGGGATTTATTAAGTGAGAAAAATTCTTTTATATTACGAACGAGGAAAATTTAATTATTTATCGTTAATACGTCAAATTACATTTATTAGTATTAAATAAAAAAAAACCTGAGAGAGAGTGGGGGAGAGAGAGAGAGAGAGAGAGAGAGAGAGAGAGAGAGAGGGAGGGAGAGAGAATGTAAAATTCAAATAAAAAATGACAGTTTACGAGTTTTACATAAAAAGTTCTACGAACGCATTAAAAAAAAGGTTCGTTACAATAAATTTTTTATAATCCACACACATAAAAAAAATTTAAAATTCGGTTTTAAAACTTGATTCGAACAATAAAAATGTTTAAAATAAAATATTCGACATGTTTGTAATCAATCAATCCATAAAAAAAAAAAAAAAAAAACATTTCGTTTGTCAAAATGGACGAATTTAAAAATCGTGATCGTCCAACAACGTATCAATGAATCATAAAACATGAAAAAAAAAATTTTATTAAATGAAATTTTCCTGGAGAATTTTGGAAACTAACGGAAGGAAATGTTTTTTCCATGTTGCGAAACAAACAACAACAACAGGAAACATTTCCTTTCAATCATTTTTTTTTTGCTGTCGTGTTTGATTGCACAAAATCTCAAATTATGTTTTCGCCAAAAAAAAAAACAAAAGAAAAACAATAACAAACAATTGTTAAGCCGTTGATTGTTACCTGAGGTTATTTTAATGTCCATTAGTTATAAAAGGTGATAAGAAGATTAACAACCGGTTTAAGGGCATTAATTCGATGGATGTTTTTCTTTTAAGCTGCGGTTAAAAGTCGTGACAAACTTTTTAGTTTATTAGTACCTAAACGTCAATTAAAAAAAATTTTTCTTTTTTTTTTTTTATGTACAGGTAAGCAAATGTGCCAAAGAAAAGATTAAAAAAAAAAAAAAAAACGAGTCTGAACATTTTTTTTTATTATTTTTTTAATTTTTTTTTTTTATAATTTAAAATGGCGAAAAAAAATTTTCTCCTGATGTTTAACACAAACATAATCACATGATTTATTTTTTATTTTTGACTAATTAACAAATTGTACGATTTATTACCTTTTTTTTTTAAAAAACAAATTATTATTATTATTATTTATTTTTTTCCTCGTTAAACAAACAAACAAACAAACAGACGCACGCAAACTTTAATTTTTATTTGTTTAAACGCGCGTGTGTGTGTGCGTGTGCTTCACTCACGTTAAATAAATAATAAAATTTTAATTTTAAATACAAGAAAATTTTCATATAATTACGCTAAAATAATAATAATAATAATAATAATAATAATAATAATAATAATAATAATCGCATCATCGGAAAATTTATTATTTTCCAAAATTTTCTTTTAGTATAAACACACAGACGTCCTCGCTTTATAATTTTTTTTTTCTCTCTAAACCTTTCGATCGTAAATAAATTGTCAATATTAATAATAATAATAATAATAAATAGTAATAATAATAATAATAATAATAATAAATAGTAATAATAATAATAATAATTG